CGCTTCTTGCCACCTCGCCGCTCCGAGCGCACCATGCAGAGCTTCTTCCACCGTCTGGGCCACCAGAGGGAGGACATGCTGGTGGAGTGCCGCTTTCAGGGAGAGCGCTGTGGCCCCCAGCACTTTACCCCCGTGAGTCCCCTCCTGGCAGGGGCAGGACAGCTGGACTGCCCCATGGGTGCTGGGAGCGATGCTTCACACCACCCCACCAAGGGCAGAGGGGTGGCAGCGGGGGGGGGAAGCTTTGATGAGCCCTTCCAAGGGCCATGCAAGACTGTTCCCCCCTTCCAGCATCTCCATGAGATTGGAAAGGGGTCCCTGGACTTCATCCCGCTTGCAGAACACCCTGCCAGATCCCTGCCTGCTCCCTCACCTCTCCCCTTTCTCTATCCCCAGGTCTACACGCGCTATGGTAAGTGCTATACCTTCAATGGGGACCGGAGGAACCCGCGCGTGAACCGCCAAGGCGGCATGGGCCACGGGAGATCATGCGGGACATCCAGCAGGAAGAGTACCTGCCCATCTGGAGAGAGACCAGTGAGTGGGGCCACGACTCGGGCAGGGAACAGGCGAGGGGTGCTGGGAGGGAGGGCTGCTGGGCAAGCAGGGCACCCCAGAGGGGGGCTATGGGGCAAGCGGGGCACTGGAGGGGTGCTGGGCCCCAGGGTTCAGGTGCTGGGTGAGTGCAGGCATGCAGCCCCTCTGTCCTTCTTCCGCAGATGAGACGTCATTCGAAGCTGGCATCCGGGTCCAGATCCACAGCCAGGACGAGCCGCCCTACATCCATCAGCTGGGCTTTGGCGTCTCGCCCGGCTTCCAGACCTTCGTGTCCTGCCAGGAGCAGCGGGTAGGGACTGGGGGGGTCTGGGGTGCTCCCTCCCACCCTGCGCTGTGGGCTAGACCTGTTGTGGGATGCTGAGCCTCCTCCCCGTGCCCTGTCCCCTGCCCCCATGTCGGGGGGACCCGGCCCTGGGGACCGATGCAGCGAGGGTGTCTGTCCCCCCGCCATGCCGGGGGCCGGTGAGCTTCTCTCCTCACTCCTGGCTTCTGCCCCCTCCTAGCTCATCTACCTGCCGCCTCCCTGGGGCGACTGCAAGGCCGTGGCGGGCGACTCGGAGTTTTACGACACCTACAGCATCACTGCCTGCCGCATCGACTGTGAGACCCGCTACCTGGTGGAGAACTGCAACTGCCGCATGGTGCACATGCCGGGTGAGCCCCGCGCGTGGCAGGGTCCAGCCCCCGCCAGGCTCAGCCCGCAGAGACAGTCCCACGGGGAAAACCTGCTTTCTCTCTCCTCCAGGCGATGCACCTTACTGCACCCCAGAGCAGTACAAGGAGTGCGCGGATCCAGCCTTAGGTGAGGCTGCCCGGCTCTGTGGAACTGAGCTGTGGGTCTTGGGTTTCTCCATCTCTCCATCTCCCTTTCTCCCTGCCCAGATTTCCTGGTGGAGAAGGACAACGAGTACTGCGTCTGCGAGATGCCCTGCAACGTGACCCGCTACGGCAAAGAGCTCTCCATGGTGAAGATCCCCAGCAAGGCCTCCGCCAAGTACCTGGCCAAGAAGTACAACAAGTCGGAGCAGTACATTGGGTAATGTGCTGCGGCCACGGTGATGGGGCGGCATCTTGTCCCTCCATCCCAAATCTCAGCCTGACGCCATTTATGTCCTGCACAGGGAGAACATCCTGGTGCTGGATATCTTCTTTGAAGCCCTGAACTACGAGACAATCGAGCAGAAGAAGGCATACGAGGTGGCCGGCTTGCTGGGTGAGTGTTGGTGGCTGTGCCGGGGGCCCTGCAG